CGCGCTGTATGGGCGGAGACGCAGACGGCTCGAGCATGCGAGTGTGAATGTTCGCGCGAGAGAACGTGTCTAATCGGGCGAAACTGCGCAACGTGGCCGTTGAGAACTGCGCAACGCAGGGTTGACTCTGCGTGGAAGCCAGCGTGACTTCCTTTAAAGGAAGCGATTACGATAAGGAATTTTCGCATCGGGGGAGAACCTGCGCCACACGGAGCAATTACTTGGCTGCCAAGGAAGCGATGTGTGGCCTCCCACGGCGAAAGGTGCTGTGGTTGCTGAGCAGGACCCGCGTGACGCCCCCCCCAGTGACGTGACGCCCACTAGTTTTGTTGATGATCTGGATGGACTGTTTGCTGTTGGCTTTTCATTTTGGGAGATCGTTTTCCTTCTACCAGCTTTGAAAGGGCAATCAAAGGGGCACTAGTTCGCTTATTTTTGACGGATTTCTTTGCTTTTTTCGCCATTGGCGTACTATTGAGACCTCACGTCCCCTCTAAACCCCTTTGAGATCTATCGTAATCGCTTCCTTTAACCCCATGAAAGATACGATACCATGAGATAAGAAAATACGGCTGCTTGGAATGAGGTGCACTCCAGAATGAAAATCGACGATAACGATAACGGTATCATATCTAGTACGCTGCCATTGCAATCCCTTCCACGTCTGATACTAGGTGCGTGTGGTTGCTAACCTGGAGTGGCTTTCTGCGTCTTATCACGCCGTTTATATGAGATATTGAACGTGACCGATTTAGCGAACTTTGCCTGGACTTATCGATTAATGGTCAAGAGTATGATTTCATTATCCGCCTCTCTTAACAGCACTACAAGTAAAAGGAGGCGAGATTACCGGAAACTGGATCGGAAAATGATACTCTTTGTATTCAGCCGAATGCGGGCGTAAGTAGAGTACATGCGCGGGTAATTGTCTTGGCGAGCAGTGCGGTGGACGACTGTAGCAATTACCAACACGAAGTTACTGCATACGATATTGCTTCCAGAAATGTAAGTTTTCTGTGAGTTTTTGTATGAACTTGCAGTGTTCTGTGAAATCCAATTGATCATCAAACATTTCTCATTTTTTCCATATTTCTACATATAACTCTATTGTAGTGGAGGCCCTCTGGTGTCAGGGTGCTTTTCATAGCATCTGGAAAGAAAACGCCGGAGATGGAAAAGTTAGCTTACAATCCAAGTTCAGTTATCAGCGTGGAAAATTTTGATGTAAGTGAAGAGACAGCGTTGTACACCGTTGTTAGGAAATCACAGTATTCCGTGTAACTTAAAGCGAGAGATTACGACAAAGTGTATGCGCACTGAGGAAGTACAGTAGCGGTCAAAAGTTTGGAAACTTTTTTATTTTTGATCTAGCGCGGCCGACACACAACGAAATTGTCCCAAATTTAGATATTCATACAAAATCAAGTTCAGAATACGACGGGAAGAATAATTTCCAAAAATATAATCATATTTGAGAAATAAGATTTTTTTCAAGTAATGGCGCGTCAAAAGTTTGGAAACTTTTTGTTTCCCTTATCATTATGATTCCTACTCTTCAATGTTTACTTGTTTCTGTTAATTTTAGTTCAACCATTGAGTAATGTGTAATTTCAAAATGAATTCATATGCAAAGGAAGCAGTTTTTCCATGGGAGGTCCTTTTTTAAACCCTACAATCCGGAATACGAAATTGAAATTGTTTCTTAGTAGTTCAGTCTCTACGGAAGCAATATTATCGAATGTTTCTAGCGTTTTTGGAGTCGAGTAAGCATAAGAAGAATGATCATTCACAAAAAAAGTATCTCACAAGAAAATTGGCCTCCTCAAATACTTCGAAGGGTGGTTGGCACGTCCCGTACCCCCGATATCCCAACTAAGAGACGATTTTTTCTGGTTTGAACCTAATCATATGAAAGTCCAAGCACAGCCCAACATCGGCCGCGACCTGGTGAATATTACGGATGATATCCCAACAAGAAGCCATTGTTGGGCTTCAAGAGCAGGATGGCCCAACTGGCACACTAACGGCTAACATGGACCGAAGGCGAGAGGTAAAACTTTGTCCTCAGCGACGAGCAGGATTTCTATCTTCCTAAAAATGATGTTGTGGACCCTGTGAAGTGTTCAGTCAAATGGAACCTCATTTTGAGTATAAGATTCCAACAGTCAGAAATAGTGGAAGTATTGTCATGGATGAAGATGTGTCCGACCATTCGGCGATTCCCCAGTTCTAGTATCCAGCGAAATGTGGGTTGGGCTAAGTACAAGAATAGTCTGTAGAATACAATGCTTCCCTTCGATAGTCAGAACTAGCCGGAAAAGATGGGTTTTCTATCGTGGAAATGACCCAATGCAGGCCTACCTCCTCACTGCCGCCTTCCTAAACCCAGAAAAAGAAGCTGTTATGAAGCGACCAAGTCAAGATCTAAAGTCTAATTGAGTTCTACATCCCACGGAAGAACTGGCATGTCGCTCAACCCACATTCCAGTTAAGAATCCCACCAAACAATGCGATTTAGTTCACAGTGTGCAGGGTTCGACTTAAAAGTCCTAAAATTATTTGTCCAACTCCGTGTCAATAAAAATGACGCTGTCGTAGAAATTCATTGCTACTCATCGAACAGTTAAAGCAACAGTCCAAGGAGGGTTTCAACCAACTCAAACCTGAGGTGTGGAAGCATGCCCCAGCCCAAGTAGAAGTTCATAGGAACTGTCACTGAATTAAAACTTACCTTTGAAATGCGTAGGAAGGGCTCGAACTTCTTCGAAAAGGGCGGGTCCACCGAGCCTCGGTGGAGCCGCCCCCTTGCTGCTGTGAAGAGCGCGTAGTTGATTGGCGGTCGTTGCGGGACCGCCGGGACTATTTGAGGTCGATCCTTTAAAGCAATCGATGTAGTGATGCCGACAACGCTGAATTTCTACATTTTTTCCTTCTACCTTCTACCTTCAAAACATGAAACGATCCCATTATTGCGCCCCAATTGCAATAGCTGGCAATTGCCAGCAATTGCCAGCTATTGCAATTGGGGCGCATTTACTGCGGGCATGTTCATACAACTCGTCCAACGAGCGTCTTCCTCCATTGCTAAGTGGCAGAGGGGGAGTCCCTGTCTAAGTCCCTGTTCGACGTCTTTTTTACTTTTCTTTCATTATTGGTCAACTTTGCACCCACAACTTCATTATCGGTGGTTTTGCCCGCGAATTCGTTCTTGAACTGTTGCTTTAAATTATCATGTAGATTCGAGAGCCATTTTGCGGAATTCGCTGTGGAGAAGTTTCCAAACTTTTGACGCGCCATTTCTTATAAAAATTCGTATTTTTCAAAAGATCTCGTTTTCAAAAAATTATGTTGCTTATCGTAATCTACACTTGATTCTGTATATAATATGTGAATTTGGGACAATTTCATTGTCTATTGGCTACACTAGATCAAAAATAAAAAAGTTTCCAAACTTTTGACCGCTACTGTACATGCACCAGTGGAAGCAGTAGGCACAGGCCAAAGAAAGCGAGATCCGGTCTTCCCGTGGCCAAAGGCGCGCTAGCTGTACCGCCTTGGGGCTGCCAACCCCTTTCTGAGCTCCACCACCGCCTGTGCTCCGCCCATCAGTATGTTGCCATCTGTGTCATCATTCGATTATCATTTTGATAAGGTGGGTTAACTGGTACCAGACTTGTCTGGGAGGATAAAAACACTGACTTGTACATCGGCTGGCCCCCGCAAGTCATTGTATAGGCCACATCGCATTCAAACGCCACTACGAATGTACAAATGGAAGTAGAATGCGTGCCGCATCCCAAAAAGGGATTGATCAACGGCAAATGCTTTATCCTTTCCTTTATCCCACTACTTGCACGTATCCTACAACTTTTCCATGAAATGCGTTTTTAATCAACCAGTTTAGCTCCGCACACTACCGCGTGCATGACACGGAAGGGCTCCGTAAAGCTGGCCAGCCGGCGGAGCGTTAGGTTCCGCCGCTAAGCAATAACTTGCTTCGTGAAATGCGTTAGCTGGCCTTCCATAGAATGCCCATTTTTGCTTTCCTTTTTGCTCATCGTCTGATACGCGCGGTGGAGTGCGGAGCTAAAGTGGTGTCTGTAAACAGCCACCATGCATTGGATGTCAGGATGATTTAGCGGTCGAATAATATTGATGCCAATGATTTTGCAATAGAAATACCCATTATCGTATATCGCTAAACATCCATCATACATTCTTAGGGACTTTGGGAATGTAGCGGTCGAACGGTATTTTATGTTGATGACAACAACGCAATGAGATGATACTGAAGTGAAATGCGTTATCTAGAATATGGTTTTAAATGGTCTCTATGTTCCTACGAATATCGCAATTATCGGCCTTATCGGCCCTTATCACTTCCTGTACCCCACCGAACATGTTCCCGTCCCACCCTGTACATCACTTCTTGGAACCAACGCCCCACTGCTGCTGGGACGCGCGCTATGAATTTCGTGAAATTTGCGTTTCAGCGCCTCTTATCAACCCTTATCAGCCCTTATCACTTCCTGTACCCCACCAACATGTTCCCGTCCCACCCTGTACATCACTTCTTGGAACCAACGCCCCACTGCTGCTGGGACGCGCGCTATGAATTTCGTGAAATTTGCGTTTCAGCGCCTCTTATCAACCTTATCAGCCCTTATCACTTCCTGTACCCCACCGAACATGTTCCCGTCCCACCCTGTACATCACTTCTTGGAACCAACGCCCCACTGCTGCTGGGACGCGTGCTACCATGACGGACTGCCTCTTATCGAACCCTTATCAGCCCTTATCACTTTCTGACCCCACCAGTATGTTCCCGTCCCACCCCCTACATCATATTCAAAATACAGCGCTCCATCGCTGCAGGGAAGCGAGCTATGAATTTCGTGACACACGCACACACACACAAACAGACGACATAGCGCTTTATATATAGTAGGGATGTTTGGCCTTTGCTGATATTGTGGTGGATATGGTTTAGAATGTGCAAACGACCTCTTAGTTGGTTGCTAGCTCGTCCATTATCAGGAGGTCAACGGGCAAGGAAGAGGTCCCATTTTGCGCGTTCTAGACGGGATTCTTTTTTTCGCCCCTGGTTTACTCAGCATCCCCGCTTTCACATAAGCTCAACCCAATTTTATCGTAATTCCTTGCTTGAAAGGAACACTTCACAAAAAACTACTTGAATTATATCCCTTTAGTGGACAAGAAAAGAGTTTCGATTGTGGCTGTACCATTCTTTGGACTGCCAAGTGCGCAGTAGGGACACGAGGCCTTCCCATGACCTAATCGTCTGCTTCGACTTTTCCTGATTTGCAACTAGCGAATGTCTGCACCCTCCCATTCATTGTGATTTCTCACCTATCCTCTCCTAGGCGGTCAGTGACTTGTTGTCTCAGAGCAGCGTTGTATTACAAAGATCAGTAACTCCAATCTGAGCGCTTCCGAGTGGTTCATCGCCTTCTTTCCTCCCTGCCCATCCAATACTCAACCATTCTTTTTTTTGTAGCACAGATTAGACCAACTCAATCGTGTTGTGTGAAATTAATGATAGCGCAGTTAGCGGCCAGTTAGCCTTAAAGTTACTGGCCTGGATTAGGCGACAAAAGGAAGTCGCTCTGTTGACCTATGACTGGATCTGCAACCATAGAGATGATGCTCCGCTTGTGACTAGGAAGCGCGCTGCAGTCTAACATTTAGGACGACGTGGGCTATGACCGCCCATCGTCGAAAAGCAAGCAGTGGTTGGCATGTCCAAACTCGCCACATGCATTGCTCTTCACCCAACCTCCTTCTCCGCCAATGAAACAAATGATCTTTTGCGGTTTTGTCACCGCTTCTTCCCGATTCTTCTTCACTGGCGTTCCACTTCGCATCTCTACACCCACTTTCTTGCGCCAAAATACCCGAACTCGATCCCGACTCGTGCCTTCAAGACAGTTAATGCCGCTAATTAGTTTTAATACGGAAAATACAAGCAAAACACGATTGTAAGTTGGAACAGTAATATAACTTATTTCAGCCAGTGGACAAGAGTGTTTATCAGAGAATAGCCCATTGGATTTGTGTTGATGACGGGACAACGGCTCTCACGCCAAGACCAACAACGACGACCACCACCACTACTCCAACTACGACGACCACCACCACCACTACTCCATCGACGACGACCACCACCACCACTACTCCAACGACGACGACCACCACCACCACTACTACCACAACGACCACCACCACTACTACGACAACAACCACCACCACTACTACTACAACGACAACCACCACTACTACTACATCAACAACAACCACCACTACCACTACTCCAACGACAACCACCACTACCACTACTCCAACGACAACTGTGTGTTCATTTTTGTCATTTCTCTTGTCTGATAACCTTGAGAAAAAGCACAACGATAAGGACGGCAAAAGAGAGGGAATATACCTTGTGCGCGAGGGGTGCAAAACGATGCGTGTCATGACTTCCCAGTCATGATGAGGACTAGACACTCAAATTCCCTGAGGCTAGGCTCTTCAAGCTTGCAACGAACAATTGCCGGTGGGTGTGCGGCACATATACTCGAGATCCGTAAGTTGGGGTAGGCGTGTCACCGGAAGTGACGTGTACTTGATAGAATCTATGTGGATAAGCTGCTTCCAACATACATCGCTGATATCAGCAAAGCATGCTGGCAACAGCTTATCCACGCACTTCTGT